TGGTTGTTGCCTTCCTTTTACTGATGCCCTGCAGCTTTGTGGGGAGGGAAGGCTGTGGCCACCGCTGCCATTCCCGCAACAGAGGGAAGGGGGCGCTGTCTGCCCTGGGGTATGAGGCAGACAAGGAAAGGAGACACCAACGTTTACTTTTTTCTCTTCTCTTCTCTTCACACCCCTCACCCTCCACAGGGGGAAGGGTCTTTATCACACTGAGAGGTGGAGGGAACATGCTCACATTAAGAATTGCAACCTCCGGAACAAAATCTTACCCTTTGCGACAACATGGATGGACCTAGAGGATATTAAGCCACGTGAAATAAGTCAGACAGGGAAAGGCAAATGCCACATGACTTCACTTGTATGTGGAATCTGAGGGATAAAATAAGCAAACAGACTCATACAGAGAACAGACTGATGGCCGCAAGAGGGGAGGGGTTTGGGGGCCAAGAGAAAAGGGTGAAGGGATTGAGAGTACAGGTTGGGAGATAGATATAGTCACGGGGGTGAACGGAGGGTGTAACGTACAGCATAGGGAATGGAGCCAATAATTTTGTAATAACTAATATGGTGTCAGGTGGGCACTGGGAGTACCGGGGGGCTCACTTTGTGAATTACATGAATGTCACCTCAAGTTAGATCTCCAAATGCACAAGAGGGGAGGGGGTTGGGGGCTGAGAGAAAAGGGTGAAAGGATTGAGAGTACAGATTGGGAGATAGATATAGTCACGGGGGTGAACGGAGGGTGTAACGTACAGCATAGGTAATGGAGCCAATAATTTTGTAATAACTAATATGGTGTCAGGTGGGCACTGGGAGTACCGGGGAGAAATTATTTAGCCCTGATTTGACAGAAAGTGCAAGAGCATGACTGTTAGTGCCAAAAACTAATAGATCTAAATTTCCAAGGAAGCATGCTTTGTGGGAGGATATGGGCTTTACCCCAGCTGGTTGGGTAATTTGAGAGCCAAAGGAAGACATGACTGTCAGAGAGGACACCTGACAAGTTCCAGAACTTCAGCTTAGGGAAGCATTTCACAAGACTGGCCAATTTATCAAAAGTAGCCAAGTACTACCAGCACATAGTGTATCATGGGGGAGTTACAGGGTTCATAGGTGATAAAAACCAAAGTCTGAACATCCTGCCTGATAATGCAGAGGCAAATAAAATGGTAAAACAATGATTAATAC